ATTGTGAACCCTGAGATTTTGAACTGTAAAAACCTGTCTTTTGTTTGGGTTGGTTCAGCCCTAACACACACCTTTAATACAAGTTTATTTATTGTAAACATGTGATTATGGTGTGGCTCAGGCCTAAAATACAACTTTAATCCTAGAGCTTTTTGTACACAGGATTTAATACATTAACCCTAGGTCAGGAGGCAGAGCAAATAACCAGATGACAGGGATTAACAGAAAGGAGGGACTTTGAGAAAAGAGTATTTAAGACAGCATGGAGAAGAAGTAGGGTGCTTTTAGCACTCTAGTTCTTAAGCTCTTTACTTCTTTGGCCTTGCACTTTTTGGCTTTTTCCTCCTGGGCTGTCAGCTAAGCTAGCAAGCTTTTAGCTTTTGGGCCTTTTCCTTCTGGGATGTGAGCTGAGTAGGATGATCAGCTGGGTGCTTTCTCTGCCTCACTGAATTAGTAGGTTTTCACCCCAGCATTTGGCTCCCGAGTCTTCCTTGGTAAAATAGAACAGGTATGATTTTAATTTTTTAACAACGAACTTGGGATCACCTGCCAGAGCCTGCCAGCAAAGTCAAACAATTCTTGAGTGGGGAGTGAGGATTGAATGAAAATGAAAAACCACACTACACATGGGATCTGTTCAAGAGGGCTGCCAGTATAAACTGTCCTATGGCTCTATTCCACAATGCCTTTTTATAGTCACAGCAAAGCACCTTGATACAATGAAGGGGTTCACCAAGAAGTCAAACTTGTTTACCAAGACCATTTGTCTGTGTGATCCTCATACAAACAAAAGGAAATGAACTCCACAAAACCTCCTGCCTATCCCTGTCTCCAGGTGAAGGCCAGAGTGAAAACAAGCAGCTCTCCACAACCACCAGCCCAGGAGTGGCACCACCCACATTGGACTAGGCCATTCTATATCAGTTACTAATTAAGAAAATGCTCTACAGCAGTTGTTCTTAACCTTCCTAATGCTGCTATTACAATGCCTCATGTATGTGATGACTCTCGACCTTAAATTTATTTTTGTTGCTACTTCATAACTGTAATTTTGCCACTGTTATGAACTATAATGTAAATATCTGTTTTCCAATGGTCTTAGGTGACCCCTGTGAAAGGGTCATTCCACCTCCAAAGGGGATGAGACCCACAGGTTGAGAACCACTGCTCTACAGGCTTGCTTATAGCCTGATCTTATGGAGGTGTTTTCTTAATCAAAGTTTCCTCCTCTCAGATGACTATAGCTTGTGTCAAGTTGACATGAAACTAGTCAGCAGAGTTGTTTCACCTATAAATTGAAGGAGGTTTTCATAATACCTGACAAGTAGCAATTAAGGGAAAAAAAGGTTTATTCTGGCTCACAATTTGAGGGGAACATCCTATCGCAGCAGGGGAGGCCATGGGGGAGCACCATATCACATTCAATTCAAACCCACATGGCAAACAGGAAACAAAAAGAGGGATGACAGCAAGCTATTGCTCCCAATGACACACACATGCTCTGTGACCTTTTCTTAGCTCATCAGTTAGAGCTTTAAATTTGTTTGTATTGTGGGTATGTTTATTTTTTAGAGTAAGATTTAATGCTGAAGGATGTTGGGATAATCTATACGTTGTATCAACCGTTATGAAGGTGTGCCCCTCTATTCTCAATTGTTAATCGCTGCACTGGAAGTGCTAGACTATGTGCCAGGCTAGTAGTATATGTAAATGTTTGTTGCCTCCTCACCTGCCCAAAAAGAAAAGGCAAACTGCCTTGGAGGCAGGGGGTGTCATGTAGCCCTCAGTCTGGCCTAAAGGCAACACTACAGAGCATATTCTGGCTGCTGATGGGTTCAGAATGAGTAGCTGTGGAATCTCTCCCACTATGCTAATAACTTTTGTATGAGAAAGGAGTGTGGTGTTGCAGGATATTTGATCCCATTGTGAATCAGGAGATTGTGAACTGTAAAAATCTGTTTCTAATAACTCAGTCTTTGATCCTAGAGCTTTCTCTTTACTATAAACAAGTACTTTTGGTGTGGCTCAGCCCTAACACACACCTTTAATCCAAGAGCTTTCTATAAACAGGATTAAATAAAGTTAACCGTAGGTCAAGAAGGGGAGCAAGAAACCAGTTAATGGGAAGTAATCAGAAAGGAGGGACATTGAGTTGAGGGTTTTATTTGTTTGTTTGAGACTGGGTTTCTCTGTGTAACAGAGCCCTGGCTGTCCTGGAACTCTTGTAGTCCAGGCTGGCCTAGAATTTGCAGAGATCTGCCTGCCTCTGTCTCTGGCTTTAAAGGTGTGTGCCACAATGCCTAGCCTAGCTGAGGGTATTTTAGACAGTGTGGAAAAGGAGGAGAAGCTTTTTCCTTCTTGGTGAGCTGAGTAGGCAGGTCAGCTGGGTGCTTTCTCTGCCTTACTGAGCTAGCAAGTTTTTACCCCAGCATCTGGCTCCTGAGTCTTTATTTGTAAAATTGAACTGTTGGGATTTCCTTCTTTATAACAACAGTGTGGTGTTTGTTTTTTGCAGAATAAAGAGACAGTGGCTGGAGCTAAGGCCAGATAACTGGGCAGAAAGGCAGGACACAGAAGCAGAACCTCCAACAGAGCAGAGAGATAAATCAGAGAGAGCCATGTATTGGGAATGCAGTGTCAGGAAAGTTGGGTTAAGTTAGAGGGCTAACTGAAAGACACTGCCCAGCAAAAAGGCTAATAGCTTTAAACTACACAACTGTCTCCATGTCTTTATTTTTAAACCCCAAGCAGGACTCCTGAAAGCCTCCGTGATAGAAGAAAAAGCCAACATTATGGAAAAAAAAAAAAAGGATTTTTTTTTCTTTCTTCTAAATATTGTGCTGAGATAACACAAAGGTCTGCTTTAGGAGGCTGTGTTGTGTGGGTCACAGCAACACTGCCCTTATTAAAGCATCTTATCAGACAGCAAGGCAACACTATGAAAATGACTTGATTTTTTTTGTTTTGATAGTGGTTTGCATGCTTAAAATGAGCTCATTCTTTCTTGTTCTTTCTGAGCTCTGGGCTGGTTGGTTCAACTCAGCTGTTCTGGTTTTAACTCCTCTCCTAACTAACTGATTCAATCTGGCTTTTGGCCCCTGAATTGCTCTGCTTGGCCTCAAACTAATTCTAGCAATCTGCTCCAATCTTCTGGCTCCTTCTCACTTTCTGGTTTATTCGGTCTTCACTTGCAGCGTGTCTTTCTATTGCTGTCCCTGGTAAAACTGCCACTTCTCTCTCTCATTGCCCTGTTAGTAGCTTCCCTTTCCTTTCTCTTCTCTTGAGAGTTGGGTATATCCTAGTCTGTCAAGTCTTTTTCTGATTCATCACTGTTTCTGCCTCAATTAAACATCACTTTCAAACATGGGTGCTTTCTTCAACAAACAAACTTTACCTTCATTGTTTGGGATTAAAGGCATGTACCATCATAAATGGACCTAAGGTTTTCTTTACCTGATACTTGCCCTATAGCAGGCTGGCCTTGTCTCAGATCTGCTTGCCTCTGTCTCCTGTATTAAAGGCATGTCCAGCCAGATCACACAGAAGCTAGAAGGCCTTTGGATGTGATCTCTTGCTGGAACTGTCATGTTATGAATCAAAATTCCTCCACATAGTACATAATAGTATAATACATCAGGAAGTCTTGCTTGACACCCCTGTGAAGTGGCACACCGTCATTCCCTGATAAATTGCAGTATTTTTTTTTTTTTTTTTTTTGCTTTCACGTTTATCACTTTGAGCAGTCCTAGTATTATTTACTTTATCCAGTTAATGTACTTCTCCCTTACTGGAATGCTCACTTTCTCTCTGTCAACAGTGTTCCCAACGCATAACGAAGGGTAAAAAGGGCCATGGAAAGAACCTCCTGATCCTGATTTGACCCCTAGCCCAAGACCAGAGTTAAGAAACAGAATCCCCCCAATCCCTGAGCTCTCCTGAAGCTCAGGACTTGAAATCCTACCAATACCCACCCTGGAAAGCCCCACCTCCCAATAAATCATATAAGCCCTGCCTTCTGCTCAGTTTTCTGTTGAGCAGAGGCAGCTACCCTCCTGTGTTTGTTAGGGTCTGAAAGCACAAAACAACTGGAGCAATCACAGAAGTCCAGCAAAGCAAGATCTTTATTTGAATTAGGCAGCAAAAACTGACTAGTCCTGGACAGAAGCACTCTGGAGCTGAGTCTTTGAATATTTATCTTAGTATTTAAGCAGGTGACACAAACGTATTGTACTCAGGCTGCTCTACTGATCAATCGGGGTTGTAGAAAAGACTCAGGAGCTGAAATGCAACCAAGTTTTTAAGTCTGAAATCCTCAAACATCTGTACCAAGTTATCCCACCAATCAGGATTTAGGGCTACGGGATTTCCTTAGGAAGACTTGCCTAGCATTCATGACTCAACCTGCCAACCAGGATATCAGTTACCCACATACATGTCTCTTTTTGCCAAGCAGCGTATCAGTTACCCACCGAGGTCTTGGGAACTTAAACTTTATTTGACCCATATTCAAAATGGAAGTTTTATTCAAAATGGCTCCAGTTTGGTTACTTTTTACAGGTTCACCGACCCCCAAGAAATTTGTGGTGCAATGTGACTTTGTATTCTTTGGTTCCGGGATTGCCAGGATACCTGTCTGAGTGGATCTCTCTGGTGAAATCATCCTCTGCCAGAGCAGAGCTGTTACATTTGCATTGGGGAAACTGTTAACACTTCTATAGGGAAAGCCTTTCCTTTCAAAGCTGCAACACTTATATATTTTCGAATTATTGTTTTTGCAATGAACCAGTGAATGGAGACACCATCTTTACGGTACTAGACAAACAGGACTGAAATGGCTGGCTTTGTCCCTGTAATGGAACAAGGACGAAAGTGTGATTTAGCTCAAGGAGGAAGTTTCTCTCCTGGAGAAAGAAGGCAGAGGCGGCACCAGTAGAATCTGCTCCACCCTCCCGGAAGGGGCGGGCTTGTGTGTGGGCGTGGCCAGGAGGAGGGGTGGGCCCTGCGCTGCGGAGCCCAGGAAGTGGCGGAAGATGGCTGCGGTTGTGGTAACGGACTCGCAGCTGATGCTGGGAGTCGGGCTGATCGGTGAGCATGCAGGCTCTTTGCCTGCCAGGCGTGCCCCAGCTCCGCCTGGGTCCGCGGGGCCGTTCCGCCAGGGAAGGGCTAGATCTGGGCTGTGAGTTCGGCCTTCTCAGCGCTGGTACTGACTTCGGTCCTGCGGGCGGGGGCTCGAGACTGGCTGACGCGGTTGGAGAGCTGGTGCCGGGCAGCGCTTGTTTGAGTATGGGTGACGCCTCTGGTGCCATTTGCAGGATACGCCCGGAAGTGGCGGAGCAGATGTTGGAACCTGTGCAGGGTGACCCAGAGTCTCTACTCTTAGAGTGGAAACCTTCATGTCGTTTGATCCAGGTCTTCCTGGAGTTCCTGCATGGTCACATGTGGAACCCCTGCTAGTTTATAGGAATTGATGGTAAGGAAGTTTATAGGTATCTTTGGATAGTCCAGACTGTGAGTGAACCTTGTGCAGCCCAAGCAAGCTTTAGGTAACAGCACTGAACTGCAGAAATGAATGGAACTTTATGAATTGCTTAGAATAGTCTCTTCTGAAGGTCTAATACACACCAAGTCACTATCCTTCATTGTAGAGTGCGCGTGTTGCTTATGCTTAACAAATAACTGCGATAATTATTTTTCAGGAGCTCAAAGCAGTGGCTTTCTCTTGTATTCACTCCATTTTGTGTAAAAATTTATTTTGTTTTTCTATGATTGTCTGCCTGACTGTATGCCTGTGTATGCTGGAATAGATCATCAGACCGTCTGGACCTGGGGCCAATTGCGAGCTGCCATGTGGGTCCTGGAAATCGAACCCAGCCTTTTTGAAGAACATCTAGTGCTCTTAACTGCTGAGCCATCTCTAGTCCCCTTGTATTAATTTCTAATGTGATTTTTAAAATTGCTTGAAAACAAATCCTAAGTAACTCAGGCATCTTGGACCTGTCAGCACTTTAGAATTAGGTTGAGCTAAATTGTGAAGATAAAAGAATGACTTAAATAGCTGGGCAGTGGTGGCACACCTTTAATCTCAGCACTTAGGAGGCAGAGGCAGGCAGGTCTCTGAGTTTAAGCCTGGTCTACAAAGTGAGTTCCAGGACCAGCCATGACTACACAGAGAAACCCTGTCTCAAACAAATAAGCAAACAAAACCTCAACATATTTGCCTGTTAAACAGCTCTTTATTTTTAATTTTTAGCTCTCTAGTTTTTTTTCTTTTCTTTTCTTTTCTTTTATTTTTTTTTTCTTAGTTTTTATTCTTACATGTACTTAAAAGGTATTTATTTCTAAGCTGGGCGATGGTGGCCTGCTTTTAGCCTCAGCATGTGGCAGGAAGTAGCAGAGGATCTCTAAGTGCAAGGCAGCCTGGTCGACATAGCCAGCTGCACAGGGAAACCCTCTCTCAAAAAAAGGGGAGGGGGGAGGAGAATCAGGCATAGTTACACAGATCTATAGTTATCAACTTCTTTGGAGACTGAGACAGCCCCACCAGTGTTTTATTTCCTATTTTGTAATCGAGGTGATTTATATTGGTGATAAAACTATATAATGACTACATAGCTTTTATTATTGTTAGTCTAAAATTTGCAGAGCAGTAGAGCTCTTGCTTAGCATATAAGATTTATTGGGTTTAATCTCAGAAAATAAGGTAAAATTTAAATCTCGACTCTATGTATAAAATGAATTAAAGGAGGTTTCATCATCTCCTTCATTTTTGGAGAAGTGCCACTAAGGATCAAAGTCAAGCCTTCAAATGGTCTGCCTATATGCCTAGCCCTCGCCTTTTTCCCTTTAACAACCCTTTTCTATGTATTTTTATTGAGTCTTCCAGTTGCACAGAAACATAATTAAAAGTCAATAAGCATTTTTTTGTGTGGGAGAAGATAATCTTACTAAATATCTAAGGCTAGTTTTTCATTATAGTTTGTTTTATTTATTTGTGTATGAGAACATGTGTCAGGCTTGCCCACATGGAAGTCTGAGGACAACCTGTGGGAGCCAGTTTTCTCCTTTGACCATGTGTGGCCCAGGGATCAAACTCAGTTCATCAATCTTAATAGCAAGTATTTTTACCTGTTTTGTTTAGGTAACGTAAAAATAATATGAATCTGAGTGGCATGATGGTGATGGTACATGCTTTGTAATTTCAACTGTTAGGAGGTAGAAGTTCAAGGTCATCTTGACTACATAATTTATGACTATTTGATAACAAAACCAACCAAGCAAATGCAAATCATAAGTTCATGAAAATTTTGTGTCTTAAATGATTTGGGTTGCTTTGTAAAGTAGGGTGTTAAACTGATTCCACAAAATGTTTCTGAGTAACCAATCAATTCACATTCCTTGCTGCTGTTTGACATTCTCACAGTGACCATCTTTCCACCGTAGAAAAGGACACTAATGGAGAAGTTCTGTGGGTGTGGTGTTACCCTTCCACGACAGCCTCCTTAAGGAATCTGCTGCTCCGAAAATGCTGCCTAACAGATGAAAACAAACTTCTCCATCCCTTTGTCTTTGGTCAGTACAGAAGAACATGGTTTTATATCACTACAGCTGAAGTTCCAGATTCTTCAGTTTTGAACAAGGTATGGCTGCTTCAACGTCAAAAAAAACCAAAACAAAACAAAAAAAAATATCTAAGACGATTTAAGAATGTAAGACTTAGACTCTGTCTATCACAATACACCTTTGCAAGCATTAAATCTTATTATTCCCTTTAACATTCCATTTACTGTACAAATACTGATAGCCATTATGTTTAGTTGAATGCTGAACAATTTTAGCATAAGTAGTCTCTCTTATCAAAGTTACAGTCTGATGGACTAGAGATAAAAGGCAGTTTCAAAGCCATAGTAAATAAAAGTGAGTAGTATTTTCCACAGTTGAAAACTATTTTGGGATTAAAGGTGTAATCCCAGCACTTGGGAGGCAGGTGAGTTTGAGGACAGCCAGGCTTCCATAGGGAGTTCCAGGCTAGCCTAGGTTATGTAGTAAGACCTGTTTCAAAAACACAAAACTATTTTAGAAGCTGGGATTATAAGCATATGCTTATAATTCCAGTTTTTAGGAGGTTCAGACAGGATTGCCAGATTCAACATAATGCATTCCAGGCTAGTCAAAAACTTTTTAATTTTTTAAACATTTATTTTTATATGTATAGGTGTTTTGCCTGAACGTATGTCTGGGTGAATGTACCATGTGTATGTCGAGTACCTGCAGAGATCAGAAGAAGGTGTTGGATCTCCTGGGACTAGAGTTAGAAACAGTTACGGATGACCATGTCGATACTGGGAATAGAACCCAGGTCCTTTGGAAGAGCAGCAGTGCTTGTAACCACTGAGCCATCTTTTCAGCTCCTTAAAACTGTCTTAAAGGATATAATTATTCTCACCAGAGTTAAGAATTTTTTAATTTACTTGTGGATGATAAAGACATTATGAATTTAAAATTTTTGTTAAGAAAAACATGTCATAATTAGGCCTTTGTTGGTGTATTATTTGCTAAAAATAGTTTCAATGTGACCTGGTGAATAACTTTTTTGTTTGTTTGCTTTTGTTTTTCAAGACAAGGTTTCACTGTGTAGCCCTGGCTGCTGTACTGGAACTCTTTCTGTAAGATCAGGCTGGCCTCAAACTCGGAGATCCACCTGCTTCTGACTCCTGAGTGCTGTGGAATTAAAGGTGTGCACCACCACTGCCTGGCTAAATTATATGGTTTCTAACTTAAAGCAAGCAGAGTTTTCCAAGGGAAAAAAAATTAAGGAAACAAGTTGCTGAGTCTCTGGCATGTACCTAGGGTGTTTCTTTTCACTTTAAAGTGATAATTTTGAGTCATAATGGGACTGTATGAAGTATGTCCAGAAAACAAAGAATAGTATTAACTATTATCACAGTATAAACTAGGAAAATAATTTAGAAACAACTAAAGGGCTCTTAGAAAACTTAACTTTGGCTCTGTATCCTATTTTTTAATTGGATTACTTGATTTGTTGCTTTTTAACTTCCTTAGTTCTTTATATATTCTGGATATTAGAGCTCTGTCAGATACAGGGTTGGTGAAGATCCTCTTCCAGTTTGTAGGCTGTCATTTTGTTCTGACAACAGTGTCCTTGGTCTTTTCTGAGACTGATACTCCAAACAAGGACCATGCATGGATATAACCTAGAATCCCTGCTCAGATGTATCCCATGGCAGATCAGTATCCAAGTGAGTTCCCTAGTAAGGGGAACAGGGACTATCTCTGACATATAAATTCAGTGGCTAGCTCTTTAACTGCCTCCCCCTGACAGGGAAGCCAGGCCACAGGAGGACAATGCAGCCAGTTCTGATGAGACCTGATAAGCTAGGGTCAGAAAGAAGGGGAGGAGTACCTCCCCTATCAGTGGACTTGGAGAGGGGCATGGGAGGAGATCAGGGATTGGAAGGGAATGAGGGAGGGGGCTACAGCTGGGATACAAATAAACTGTAATTAATATAAAAAAATAAAAATTTAGAAAAAAAAAGAATTTAAGTTTGGAAGTTTTAATGTATTATAAGATCTTTGGGTTTTGTTCAATAAGTTTTTTTTTCTCTTTGATGGTTTGTTTGTTTTAAAACAGGGTCTTTCAAAGCCCAGTCAGGCTTTATATCACTATATAGCTGGCGCTGGGCTAACACTCTTGATCCTTCTGTCTTCACTCCCCAAGTGCTTCCATTACAGATTTGTGCCACCACAACTCACTCACTTATATCAGTTTGGTGGGTTTTGTTGTTTCTCTTTCAAACTTTATTTTTACTTTTATTTGTATGCATGCCCGTATAAGCACAGGTGTCTTCAGAGCCAGAAGAGGCCATCAGACCCCTGGAGGTAGAGTGAAAGGTAGCTATAAGCTGCTCTGTGGGTGCTGGGACTCAAACTTGGGTCCTTTGCATGAGTAGCAAATGCTTTTAACTACAAAACCATCTATTTCCTTCAGTTCTTTATGAAAAATCTTGATGCAGTCTTAAGTGGATGTGGTCCGTGTTTTTTATTATAGACTTCCAAGTTACAGCAGCATTCATATTACATCTGTTTCAGATTTTAAAGATTTAGAGATAGTTCAAAACATGTTTTTCAATAGAGCACAGTACACATATAATCTCACATGTGGGAGGCTGAGGCAGAAGGTCTCAAGTTTGAGACCAGCATGGGCTATATAGTGAGACTATCTCAAAATAAAACAAGAATAGAGAAGCAAGTGAAGACTTTGGCATTTTGGTCTTTTTAATGCAACAATGTTGTGCCCAAGAGGTTTGTTAGAATAGAGTTAATACAATTAATCTATTATAGTAAGTATTTATTGAATTCTATTCAACTCTCTTTTAAAAAGTGTGCTTTTGTTTGTTTCTTTTGGACAGGTGACTCATTTTTCTATTGTTCTGACCGCCAAAGATTTTAACCCAGAGAAATATGCCGCCTTCACTAGGATATTGTGTAGGTCTGTATGAAAACTGTTAAATGCTAATTCACCAAAATGAAGATCTTGTTTAGTAGTGACCCAGAAAATGTACACATGAAGGAAACAAATTCAGTCTTTAGTCTTAGCTGACTTACTCCATTTTGGCTTTGCAGAGTCTGATTTGTAAAGAGGGACTTTCTCTTTGTTTTGTGGCTTTATCCTCTGATTTGGGAAAATGGGCCAGGGGGAGAAGAAATAGCAGTTTGTCTGGCTTTGGTAGTTTTGTAGTTTCTGGGCATCTTTCTTTATATATTAGAGTCATTGGGTTTTTTGTTCTGTTTTGTTTTTTTCCGAGGTTTCTCTCTGTATCCCTGGCTGTCCTGGAACTCACTCTGTAAACGAGGCTGGTCTCGAATTCACAGAGATCCATTTGCCTCTGCCTTTCTGAGTGCTGGGATTAAAGGCGTGTGCCACCACCACCTGGCAACATTGGCTTTTTAAATGATGGCTTTTCCAAAGTTTTAGTTTTCCTGTTGTTTTTAGGTAACATGTAATTCTAAATATCATGTTTCAGCTCTCTCATCTAATAGTTTTGTGGAGAACTAAAGAAAATTGTTTTTCCTACTGTAAGCCTAATAAATGGTTGCACACCAAAGCAAAAACTGAAAAAAACTCTATTATCTAAGAGTTTCAGTTAGATTGTATTTTAACAAAGTGAGGTTTTTACTGCTTAGGTAATTAGCCATACTATAAGACTTGCTATGGAAAGACAAATCTAGGCATGTGGCTCACTGTGGAACAGAAACAGCTGCTACTCTTGTGGCTTCATGGATGAAGTTGTTATTGATAGAAGGGTTGAAGTCCAGAATCTGTAAGCTGAAAACACTATAGAGGTGTTTTTAGAGGTCTCATACTCTAAAAAGTATGAGACTCCCGTTGCATCTGGCCTCCCCAAGCAGGACATCTGAACTGAGCAGGAGGTATGTTGGAGTTCAGAAGGCAGTATTGCTTCAGATGTCACTTCCACTTAAGGAAGCCTGGAAGATGTCTAGTTCTGTAGTGCATAGTGCTATTGTAGTAGTGGTATTCTACTCAGCAATTGCCAGCCACTTCCTCTATGCCCTGTTCCTTTCTGCTTCTATCTGTTCAGCTTTACATGTGTTCTCCTGTCCCAAGCACGTGTCTGTCTTTGACCATGCTCATGGTCAAAGACTTTTTCATGATTGTAACATAAATGTGGAGGTGTTTGCACTCATTTCTGGGGAGTGAATCAGGCAGGCGTGCTTTCTGTAACATGCAGCAGAGGCCACTCAGGAAGGCTTCAGTCTCTGTGGCATCTTTTGCCACCACTCCTTTCATCTCCTAGGTGTGGCTCATAGGATTTGGGCACAACTAGAATCTGCTGTACCCAGCAGGTGTGGCAGGCCTGAGGGTTACTGTCTAACATGTCCTCTGAGCCACACTGCATGGTTCTCCCCAGAGTCTTTTCAAGGGGCTTCCTCTTTTCTGTCTCTCATGACCCAGGGCTGTCTTCACGTCAGTCTTCTGTCGGACTCCTCCATTACTGTCGTTGCTTTCTCTTCATTGTGTTGATGAGCTTTTTATTAAGCAGCGCATAATAAAAAAGTATCAGTGATGAGGCTGGAGAGATGGTTCAGCGGTTAAGAGCACTGGCTGCTCTTCCAGAGGACCTGGATTCAGTCTCCAGCACCTGATGGCAGCTTACAACTGTAACTTCAGCTCCAGGGGATCCGACCCCTCACACAGATATATGCAGGCAGAACACCAATGGACATAAAATAAAAATAATTAAATCTTAAAAAAAATTAGTGTTAGTGATACAGAGGAATCTACAATAAAATTCAACACTGCCTCCTGCTTGTTCAGTAGCCCCAGTTCATATCGTCCCTGTAATACCCTTGGTTTGTATAAGCTTCTGTTTGAATTAGTGGGAGAACTCAAAATACTTGCTGTTCCCACCTTTTTCTCCATTTGTAGAACTAGATTTTTTTTTTTGTAGTTGGTCTTCAAGTAGTCAGTTATAAAAATAAGTTTTCAGCTTAATATTCTCAGTTTCCTATCACATCAGCTGCTGAGAGGCCCAGATATGCCAGGTAATGTTTTTTTTTTTTTTTTTTTTTTTTTATCCTTCAGTGCTGCAGATCACACTCAGGGCCTCGAGCAGGCTAGACCTACTCTTGACTACTGAAGTATAACACTAGCCTCATCAAGTTTCTCAAGCAACATATAGTTCTAATCCAGACATGGTGGCTTAGGCCTTTAATCTCAGCACTCTGGAGGCCAAGGCAGGTGAATCTCTTTGAGTCTAAGACCAGCCTGATCTACACAGTAAGTTCCAGTACAGTCAGGGTATACAGAGAGACACTGTCTCTAAACAAACAAACAGATGGATCACTGTCTATAAATAAATAAGAGAGATGTAGCCTTAGTTGTTCACAGGAAGGGACTTCAAGGGGAAGAGACTTAACTTGGGCTCTATAAATGCAACTGGCTTCCTGTCAGCATTTTTGGAAGTCTTTAACTTGATGACAGATGTCTGTTGTGAAAATTTTAAACATGGATTTCTTAATCATCTAAATGTAATTACCTCTAGGATTGCTTATAATAAGCATGGGTTCTATAGCTAACTACTGCTTTCTCTGTGAACAATGCCTTGAACTCCCTTTTTTAAATTAAATTTTTATTTTTTTAATATTAGTTAGTTTATTTACTTTATATCCCAGCTGTAGCCCCTTCCTTTATTCCCTCCCAATTCCACCCTCCCTCCCTCATGTACTCCCTGCCTCTCTCTTAAGTCCACTGATAGGGGAGGACCTCCTCCCCTTCCATTTGAACTCCTTTGCAAAAGAAGTTCAGGCAATAAAGCAGAGTTGTGTGACTGAGAACACAATGAGCACTTATAAGCATAAGACATAAAAAGAAGTAAGAATGTAATATTGCTAGGGAATCCACTATTAATTCCCCTGTATAGGGACTACATCTTCAGACAGCAGGAAAGAGAAAGAGCTTTCCTCAAAGAAATAATCCACATCTGTCAAGTGTTGTATTTCAAAGTAAATTAGAGAAGAAATACTATGGACATGTTTGCACATTTGGAAATGCTACCAGGTTACTTTATAATCTAGAAAGTACCAGTGTGTAGCCGTGGTGACTTTCTCCACATTTCCCATATTGCATCAAAAGCATTGTCACCTTTTGTCCTTTCTCATAGAATATATCTGAAATATGGAAGCCCGGTTAAAATGATGGAGAGTTACATTGCAGTTCTCACCAAGGGGATCTGCCAGAGTGAAGAAAATGGCTCTTTCCTTAGCAGAGACTTTGATGGTCGAAAGGCATACCTTGCAGGCTCTATCAAAGGTAAGAAAGAAAGAGAGAGAGAGAGAGAAAGAAAGAGAATGAGAGAGAGAAAAAGAGAAAGAAGAGGAAGAAAGAAAGAAAGAAAGAAAGAAAGAAAGAAAGAAAGAAAGAAAG